CCCTAGCCACAACATCCAATCTCCCTGCTCAAAAAACTCCAAAGAGTTTTCAGGGAGCAACCAAGCCAGAAAGTCTTATCTTAAGCAAAAGGAAAAGTCTACAGCAGTAGTTCTTAACCCTGGCTCCAAACCGGAGATCTTTTAAAGTACAGGTTAGTGGGGTAAGAGGGGGGTGGATGATCAGAAATTACTTAATAGGTACAATGTATGCTATTCCAGTGGTGGGTACACTAAAAGCCCAGACTTCACCACTATGCAATGTAACCATGTAACAAAATTATACTTGTACTCCATAAATTTATACACACACACACATATCCAAATGCATGTACCTGGAGCAGTACTACAGACTACTTAAGTCAGAATATCTGAAGATGGGGTGAGATGTGTCCTATAAAGGGTTAAGCCCTAGCAATGGCTATGCCAGAAACCCAAGGCCTAAGCAGGGTTTACACAGTGGTATCAGCTCCCCATGCCAGGTCAATCCTTTCCCTTCCATTAGGGACAGATCTTAACAGCCAAGGGACAGATCTCTGTTTAGTTGGCATCCCACAGGCAGAGGCAGGCAGCAGCCTGAGTGAGTCCCCAGGGTCAGCTCCACCTTTTCCTTCCACTGTCTAAGGGAATCCCAGGGCAGATTTGAGACTTTGCACACCTGATCTCTCAGGAGCCCCAGAGCCTGTCCCTCCAGCCCTCAGTACTGAAGCACACACTGCCTGCCCTTCTTTCACGCTGGCTGAGGGGCCACCCACTGGGACAGGGCCAGATGGGAAACTGGGCCTGGCGGCCTTAGCCCTGTCCAGGGTCCTGACACAGGTCAAGCACTTTCTTCGGCCCTGCGACATCTCATCAGTGTCCTTTGATCTGCACTGCTGGGGCACACTGGGAGGGTCAGCCCCTGACTGGTCATCACAGGGCACCTCTGCCGATCTCACCTTACACCTAACCCCAGCCTTGCACAGCTCTTGGGTTCATCAGGCCCACTGCCTGTGCTATGCTAAGCACACCTGGACCTCAAATCCCCACCCCATCACTACCCATATTTAGAGGTGAGGAGACAAGTGAACCACAGTTCCACGGCTCTGTAGCCACCAGGAAGGGGGTTGCCACATCACGCACTATAAGTGCTCCCACTGGGGACTTGTGCCAGATCAAGAGTAGACCACATGACCAACCTGATAGCCACTCCACAGCTTTATACTCCAGATTACTGGACAGATGGGACTCCCAGAGCCCCTTTCCCCAGGGTGTTCAAGGCCCTTGGCCTTCAAGCCCAGCAGACTATAAAGACTCCCCACCATTTCCAACCCATTCACAGAAAGAGAAGAGAGCAGTCCAGCGAGGAGATTTAGTGCAAACATTCTCTGCTGCCAAGTCCTTGCTTTCATTTCCACCCTCTCATGAGCCAAATAATTTGGAAGCTTTCATTGACAGTTTCCTCTGGCCCCATGATAACTCACAATTTATGTCAGCCACAGCTCAACCTTCTCACTTAGGGGACCAGGGAAACCACGCAGGCTGCTCTCCAGCCTGCTACAGGAGGAAAAGCTTGTCCTTGGCAACAGTTTAAGGCTTCAAGGTAGGGAGGGCTGCGTTAGGTCTCCTGGAGCCCAGGACTTGAGGGGAGGTTATTTCTTAGGCAAATCTCAGAGCTGCAGAGTCTCCTGGGCTTGGACCCAGGACCACGGGTAGCTAGTCCCAGGGAGGCCAGGCATCAATACTCTTAACCAAGGGTCCTCAAACTTTTTAAATAGGGGGTCAGTTCACTGTCCTTTAGACTGCTGGAGGGCCGGACTGTGGGCCCCGGGACGAATAGGCTGCTAAGCAGTACAAACAGCGGCAGCAAAAATACCCGGCGGGCCAGATAAATGTCCTAGGCGGTCCACATGTGGCCTGCGGGCCGTAGTTTGAGGACGCCTGCTCTTAACCATGGCTTGACTACTTGCAGGTGGAGAAGTGTACAAAGACTCTGAGCTGGAAAAACCAAAAGCCAGGGGAATTTTCTGCCTCATACAAATTTTTATTTTGTTTTGTTTTTGAGATAGATTCTTTTGTCGCCTAGGCTGGAATGCAGTGGCCTCATCATACCTCACTGCAACCTCAAATTTCTGGATTTCAGAGATCCTCCTGCCTCAGCCTCCTGAATAGTTGAGTCCAAAAGCACTGGCCACCATGCCTGGCTAATTTCTCTAATTTTTTTGAGAGATAAGAGTCTCATTCTTGTTCAGACTGGTCTTGAACTCTTGGGATAAAGCAATACTCCCAAAGTGCTAGGATTACAGGAATGAGCCACCATGCCTTGCCCCATGCAAACTGCCTCAGTCTCTGCTGACACCTGTTTCCTCCCACTGGTGCTTGGAGAGAGCAGAGCAGGGCCAGGAGACTGGTCTGAGCTCCCCCTGGAGTCAGAACTTCCCCATTCCACTTCTGAACCACCACCGAAAGCAGAAAATAGGTGGGATTCTCTGAGACATAGGTTCCTTAAGTCCCAAACTGGCAAGACAATTCCTGATTCCCAGGACCAGGAAGGCACATAAAGGTGGCTACTGTTTTACTAATTCAACCGCAGCAGCTAGGAAATGCCAGTGGGTCACCAGACTGAGGGGAGGTCCCAAACAACCTAAAGGCAAGGCCCCCCAAGGCTCCACTTGCCTTCTGCCTCCCAGGCAGCACTTAGGCACATCCCAACCCCCAAACCAGCAGGGCTACTCCAGAGAGCCTTGAGAGCCTCACAACAACATCCTCCCCACCTCTGCATTTACATCCCCTTCCTTAACTGCACTCCTAGAGATTACCCCAGCTGCCTCCACCCGACTCCCAGGGGGCCACGGAAGGACCTCAGGTGGGAGAGATGAGGTTTCTAGCCTCAAAGGATATAGCCCCCACCTCCCAAGGGCAGTGGCTTAGAATAGGGTAGCTGGATAAGGAGGGGGAAAGGGAGGAGGAAAGAGGAAGGAGGGAAAGGAGAAGACGGAGGAGGAGGGAAGTAGTAGAGAGGAAGGGGGGGAAGGGAGGAGGAAGAGGGGGAGGAGAAAGAGTGGTGCTTTTTCAAATGCAAGGCTCCATGGAAGCCCCCAGGGGTTGGCTAAAGATCTTGGCAGCAGGATGGGGGTGTGCATCCACCCCGTGGTGAGGAAGGGACCAGGAGGAAACTAGCTAGGAACAAAGATACCCCACCCCCCAACCCTATGCCAAGGGTTCAGTTTCTGAACTCTAGGCCTATTAGCTTCAAGGACTTAAGGTCTTGGCCATGTGACCTTGGGATCCCCACTTTCCTTATCTACAAGAAGACTGAGAATTGTGAGCTAATTTCAATGACTAGAGTAGTGTGGGGTCCCAGTGCCTGGCTACTCTGTAGGCTTCAAGTAGAATCCCACTTCATTTATTTTGTAGAGATAGAGTCTCACTTTATTACCCTCGGTAGAGTGCCATGGGAACTCACACAGTTCACAGCAACCTCCAACTCCTGGGCTTAGGCGATACTCTTGACTCAGCCTCCTGAGTAGCTGGGACTACAGCTGCCCACCACAACACCCCGCTGTTTCTGTAGCAGTTTGGCCGGGGCCAGGTTTGAACCCACCACCCTCAGTATATAGGGCCGGCGCCCTACCCACTAAGCCACAGGCACTGCCCCAGAGTCCCACTTAAGAGCCAGGTTTGAAACTTCCAGCTCCTGATGCTCTTATAGCCTCATGTGTGACAAAGTCCTCTGGGCTTAGCACCAGAGCAGCATTAGCACTGAAGACCTAAGAAGGAGCAATAAGGCCCAACCATGTGACTTTTCAGGGAAGGCTGGAAGCAAGGCCTGGGTGTCCATTAGTTTACCCATCCCCAATGCTCTTCCCCAGGGTTCCAGAGGCCACAAACACTTTCACTTGCTGCAAGACTCACCTCAGGTCAAAGGGAAGGCTGAATAAAGAATGTATGGGACCGGGGCGAGGTGGCACATGCCTATAATCCCAGCACTCTGGGAGGCTGAGGCAGGCTGACCTGAGCTCACGAGCTCAAGACATTTGCAAGCTACAGCAAGACCCTGTCTCTAAAAAGAGCTGAGCATTGTGGTGGGCACCTGTAGTCCCAGCAACTTGGGAGGCACAGGCAAGAGAATCGCTTGAGCCCAAAAGTTTGAGGTTGCTGTCAGCTATGATGCCAGAGCACTCTACTGGGGCAACAAAGTGAGACTCTGTCTCAAAAAAAGAGAAATAAGGAGTGCATGACTAACTGGATGGCTAGGAAGACCCCATCCTTCATCCCCACATCAGCAAATCTTTGTTACCCTTGGCCTCCAAAATATCCCAAACACCACTGCTTTTTTTTTTTTTTTTAATTTCTTTTGAGATAAGTCTCATTATGTCACCCTCGGTAGAGTGCCATGGCATCACAGCTCACAGCAACCTCCAACTCTTGGGCTTAAGCAATTCTCTTGCCTCAGCTTCCCAAGTAGCTGGGACCACAGGCGCCCACCACAATGCTTGGCTATTTTTTTTTGCTGTAGTTCTCATTGTTGTTTAGCAGACCCAGGCTGGGTTCGAACCCATCAGCTTCAGTGTACATGGCCAGCGCCCTAGTCACTAAGCTATGGGCGCCAAGCCACCACTGCTTCTTTTTTAAGAATTAATTAATTTTTAAATTTATTTACAACTTAATATCATCACCAATCCCATTGCTTCTGACTTCACTGCCACCATCCAGCTCTAAGCCACCACTTTTTCTCTGCTGGAAGACTGCAACTGGTCTATCTTTCTCATAGCAGTTAGTGAGACTTTCCATTAAAACATCAGGTTGTATCTTTGCCCTGTTTGCAATCTTTGAAAGGCTTTGCCCCCTCACTCAGATTAACAGGTACATCTTCACAACAATCTACAAGGCTTAGGTGAATTGGCCTTCCATCCTGTTCATTCCACCCACTCTGCCACACTGGCCTCCCTGGCACTGCCCTTCACATCCTCATAGCACTCACTCCCTCCCCTTGGTCTCTGGGGAGCTTGTCACTACTCACCTCGGATGGCTTCTTTTCGTTCTGCCGGGGCCAGCCTGACTTGGTGCTGCTGGGCAGTTTGGAGCATCGTGATGCCGATGTAGACGTAGCGTGACCTAAAGAGAGAGAACAGTCTGTTAGGAGTGCTGGAGGGCCAAGAATACAACCTACCCATGTCCAAGAACAGGAAGTCTAAAAGGAAGCCCTGGCTTGAATGTTCAGGAAGAGAAGACCTCTCTGAGCACCTGGTACACTGTCCCTGCTCTGGGCCTCAGTTTCCCCTCCACTCACCGAGCAGAAGGGGTGGGGAAAATCAAAGGCAATTACTAGGGCTCAGGATTAGCTTGCTATGTGACTCCAGACAAGTCCCTGGGCCTCTCTCTTTGGGTCTCTGTGTACTCCCGGGTCACTCTCCACATGCCCCAGATGAGGTACTTCCATGATACTCTGGGATGATGCCCAGTAGTTACACAGATACCGGGCAGGGCTGTAGGAAGAGCGTTGCTCTCAAGTAGACCCACAGACCACCACCTTGAACCCTGACCCTGCCACTCACTTGCTTCTCATCCTATGAAAATAACTTAAGTCTCTCTAATCCTTAGTTTGTTCTTCCATAAAATTAGAGTAAAAGAATAACTGTCTTCAAAGGGTTATTGTGAGTCTTAAATGACATCATGCTTGTAAAATCTTAGCACAGTCCTGGCATAACAATGATTAATCAATAAATATTAGCTACTATTATTAGCTTCTAAGGCCCTTGCTGGACACTTCAGGACAGTGGTCTCAACCCCTATAAGTCAAAGGCACAATAAAAAGGGCCATAAGGAAACCCCAAGGCTTTAGTGGTACAGCCATGTGGGGGTGGTGGGGTGGTGGGAAGGAAGTCAGCCCCGCCTGGGCCAGCCCTGACGCAGCTCCAGGGCACATATCCTTGCAGGTTCTTGGCCCTCTCAGAGGGCTCCTTTGCCTATAATAAGGTTAGAAGCAGAGGACACAGTTCTGGGTTCTAATGAGCCAAGCCACAGGCAGCATGTTGCAACCACAGAAGGCCAGATGCTGTGATCTCCTGCTGTAGGAAGGGCTGACAAGGTTGGACTATAGAGCAAATTGAGCAAACAGAACCCAAAGGACAGTGAATGAGACCTGGAGGCAGGGAAGGGGCTGGGAACTGATCAGCTATCCTAGTATACACATTCTCAACCTCTAGGGGAGCTGTGGAACTCTGGGCGCTAGAAGGGGCCTCAGAGATCCCCCTAATCCCACTTATACACCACATATATGAATAAGCATATTCTAGAATTATTCTAGAACAAGTACAATGTAGAGCTGCAGGGTTCCATGTCCTGCCTCCCTGACAGTGCAGCCTCTTCCTTAGCCTGGGCATCCACGAGGGCAATCACTGCTAGGTGGGATCAACCCAGCATATCCCTCCTACTTACGGCAGATGGAACTCCTCAATCCAACAGGCCTGGCTTCCTACTTTCTCTTCTCCCAATTTCAGGGTAGGCTCCCTAAAACTTCACTCTTTCCTTGAAAATGCATCCCCCCCTTCCAGACATCCAACAGACACACGTACCCCATACACAAGTCTACTTTTGAGATTCTATTTCTAAGATCCTGTGGAGATCAGGTTTCTTTGTTAATTTGTTCTGTAAACATTTACTGCACACCTACTATGTGCTAGATGGTAGCTGGGGATATAGCAATGATCAAGACATGAAACCTCTTATCAAAAAGCTCAGCGCTGGTTAGGAAGTGATACTTATCCAGTCAACTGCAATAGAGCAACAAGTCTCTATTGTGTAGAGACTTCTTATAAGGGTCCCGACTCAACATATGCAAAGGCCCAGAGAGGGGCTGTTCTGTTCCAAGGGTGAAAAGGAGTAGACTGAAGAGAACAAGCCCTGAAGGCCACGGTAAAGAACCTTCTTAGGGACAGGGGGACCTGACTTGATTTCTGCTTTCATCAACATGCCCCTTGGTCAAGGAAAGACAATGGGGAAGCCTCCTCCCACCTGGATCTGTGGACCTCATAATTATTCAACTACTTTCCCTGCAGAAGCCCTGAATTGGAAGGCCTTACTGTCAGTGGTATCAGAGTTGTCACTGCTGATGGAGTATTTCCGTCTCTTCTCTTCCATCTGCAACAAAATGAAGGCCCATTATATTCACATCTTAGGAAATCCTCAGGCACCCAGAAAATCACCCCATAACCTACACTGCACCATGACAGACCTCCCCACACTTACTCCTTTGCAGAAAGATAAGGCCCTACCCCAGCCTCCTCCCACCCGCCCAGAGAGGTCCAGAGTTCATGGAGATGGCTGCATCTCCCCTCTCCTGAATCGAGAGCCCTCAGACAAGCAGGAAGCTGGCAAAAGCTGACACAGAAGGAGAGGGCATGGGGGGAGGGTCAGCAGGCTCAAACGCAGTGACCATGACCTGCCCAGCTTCCACTTAAACTCAGGCCCACCAGCAAATCCACTTCCACTGCAAAGGCCTCCTGAGTGGGAAGGGTAGAGGAGAGGAAACAAGACTGATTTTTCTAGGACTATGCTATCCAAAGGTAGGGATAACATAGCACAGACAGCACTGAGGGCACAATCCTGAGTGTGGCAGTCAGTGGGATGCAGAAATGGTGTGGGGCAAGCTCCAACTGGGTCCCTAAGACACTGGGCCCAGGTGCCTGGTCCTACGGTGGGCTGCCCTGACCTCCTGATAAGAGCACAAACCAACTTTATCTCATCTGGGATACTTAACTTCATGGTAATAACAGCAACTCTCACATGTGGGCCTCACAGAGCCCACAGGGGGTGCTTCCTGTATCCATACCATCTCCTGTTCCTAGCCTAGTAAGCTGTGATCTGTTAGCTCCATTTACAGGTGAGGTTCAATGCCTTGTCCTGCTAGTGATGGGCTGAAATGGCTCTGATCCCTGAGCTCATGCTGGGCTGCCTTTGTGGCACCCACTCATTAGTTCCTGCCTGTCCAAAGTGTTTTTTCAGCTATTATTTGCTCTAATCCTAAAGAGTCATGGGTAGCAAAGACTGCTCTAGTCCCCTTGGAGGGAAGGTGCCTTGTTAACCTGCTCTGGATCTTACATCCTCTCTGCACCTGAGTCCTAATGTGACAATAGATCCAGGGCTCAGTGTTCAGAACACTTTCCACCATGCTCCTGTTCATCTTGAACTGCCTCATTGCCTACGGCAAAGGTCAGAGAGGGAGTCTGTCAGGAGGGAGAAAGCCCCATGGCCCAGCCCATCTGCAAGTCAACTAGGTTCTCTAGCCCTGCTCAGGATCCTATCTGCTTCCTAACACCCCTTGCTCCCATCCACAGTCTGTTCCTGCTGATCCTGGGGTGCCCCTATCTTACCGCAGCCCTGCAAAAACTAAGGAGCTTCTGTTCTCTAAGGCCCATGTGACTACCCAGATCTCTGAGTTGACTAGGATGACCCACCTGCCTCAGACTTGGCATTGGGCAGGAGCTTCTCTCCACCCAGTGCTCATCAACAGCAGGATCAAGAGGGAACGAAGGCTTGCTGGTAGCTGCCCAGCTCCAAAGGTGTAGGTAAATAAAGTGTCCTCTAGAGGGTGAGGACCAGAGGACAGACACCTGGTAGTGCCAGTTGCTTGGATGCCTAGGAGGCAGGAACAAGGCTGGCTAAGACTGCTGAGCACTCACCAAGGCAGGAGGTGGGTGGCCTGGCACACAAAGACCTCAGTCAGCCCTTAGAATAGTCCTTCCTTGTGGGTGGATATGACGCCACCTCCCTTTGCAGAGGAGGAAACTCAAGCTCAGAGCTTAAGTGACTTGACTTGCCCAAGATGACCGTGTTTGTATTTGACTCAGGAGACCACGTTCTTGACCTTCAGACTCCCCTATGCAGGAGAACACAAGCAGTGCAGCAACCCACAACTGCCACCCTAACTGCCCTTCACAGACTGAGTGTTTGGAGTGTTTGGACAAGCACTTTGGGAGGCTGGGGCAGGAGGATTGCTTGAGCTCAAGAGTTGGAGACTAGACTGAGCAACGCAGCAAGACCCCGTCTCTACAAAAAATACCAAAAAATTAACAGGATGTGGTAGCACATGCCTGTAGTCCCAGCTACTCCAGAGGCTGAAGTAAAAAGATCACTTTTTGAGGTTTGAGGTTTGAGGTTGAAGTGAGCTATGATCATGCCACTGCCCTCATGCTTGGGCAACAAAGCAAGATCCTGTCTCTGAAATAAATAAATAAATAAAACAAAAAAAGGAGCAGCATGTGAGGAAGGCTGCCTCTGATAGAGAGCCCTGACTAGCCTACATGTTGCCCAGCCCTGCTCTGCCCTGTCACTGATGGGGTAAGAGTAAAGGAAAAGGGCTACAAACGCACCCATCCATTTCTCCTCTGAAATCATGAACGTACATTCCACTTCATTTCCAACAAAGAGGGCACTTCTAAGCCAGGGTCTTCCACAGCAAAAACATAGGGGCTGTGGATTCAGGGCTGACAGGTATAAATCTTAGCTCCACCCCCGCACTAGACCAGGGACCATGGGAAAGACATACCTCCCAGACGACTGGATCTGGCTTTTTACATAAATTTCCTGAATTTAAAATGTTGGCAACTGAGTCAGAATTTTTAAAACACTTTGAGAGGGCCAAACTAAACATATGTGTGGGCCAGAATCAGCTGGTAAGAATAAATAAGAGCGATGAAAAGCCCTCAGCACGGTGGTTGGAGATCCATACAGGTACTAGTTATTAATGCTATGACAGCCCTGGGCCAGGTGGGAGAGCCATCCTCCCACTGGTCCTCATCTAGGGAGCACCTCTGACAGCAGGGGGCCATGACCTTTCACAGTAAGGAAGATCCCCTAGATCCCCTAGAAGGCACTCTGACTGTCCATGCCCTTCTCACAATGCTGTTTCCTATTGACCAGGGCGCAACAGGTGACTATCAGCATGCAAGACTACATCCCACCCCACAGCAGTTCCCTTCCAACCTGTCTTCCACAAAATAGTGCCCACAGCTTGTGCTTCTCAGTCAGGGCTGCCCCCCTGGAGGCCATTAAGGGAGCGGATTTTGTGATGGCTTAATTGGGGTAACTAGTTCTCAGAGAGGAGCCAATGTTTTGTAAGTGAAGCTTCTTTCCTTTGGACATTGTCTATTCCAAAGGCCTACCTGCCTCCAGTGAGCCCCTACTGTCACAGAGGCTGCTAAAGCTCCAAATGAGGCCTGGACCCCTGTGAGACAGCCCTTTGTCCCTTGAATCATCCTCCTCTCCAACTCAGCAAGGGGTCAGGAAGGACCCCTTCACCAAAGCAGAAAACCGGGACTGTGAACACAGCTGTGAATACAGGCAGTGTTGACACTTGATCTTGGTCTCTGGTTTTTCCTCTCTACTGGAAGCTCCAATCTCTCCCAAAGCAAAAGCTGCTCTGGGAGAAGAATATCTCAGTGTCACAAGGCACTTGATTTGGGGGATAGAAGCATGCCTGAAATCCTATCTATAAGGAGACTCTAGGAAAGAAAGGCTCTCCTTTTCCTGCCATTTGCCCTTCTCATGCCAACCCCAGCATGCAGACACATGTAGAAAGTTTTCCTTTGGAGCATGGGTACCCTAGAGCCCCCTGTGGAGAAGAAGCCCACAGCCTCTCCCAGCTTCCTGTTCCACAGCCAACCCTTGGCAAGTCCAGTGGGCTCTGCCTCCAAAACACACCCACTTTTTTCCATCTTTCCTGTCACTTCACTGGTCCAAGCCAGTCTTATGTCTTGCTTGGAGCCCTTGTTCATCTCCCAGCTTGCACTACCACTCCCCCACAATCCTAACTCCACACAGCAGCCAGAGTGAATCTTTAAAAAGCATAAAGCAGAAGCCCAGTGTAATGGTGTGTAGTCACAGCTACCTAGGAGGCTGAGTTGGGAGGATCACCTGAGGCCAAGTGACGGGTAACCCAAGAGAAGCCTGAGTAACTTTGTGAGACACTGTCTCCAAAAAATAGAAAAAATTAGCTGGATGTGGTGGTTTGTCCCTACAATCTTGTCTACTTGGGAGGCTTAGGGTGGGAGGACTGCTTGAGCCCAAGAGTTCAAGTCCAGGCTGGGTAACACAGCAAGACCCCCATCTCTAAAAATAAAAAAATAAAAGCATAAGTCAGATCACATTCTGTCCCTATTCCTGCTGACCAAAGGATAAATCTCAAGCTCCTGACCCCAAGACCCTACTCAATCAGGCTCCTGCCTACCTTGCCAAGTTCATACTGCCCCTTCCTCACCGCTTTCTAGCCAAAATGGCCCTTCATTCCCTTAAATGAACCAAAGACTCATGCTATAAGACCTGTGCACAGGGGATACTCACTGCCTATAATATTCTTTTATGTGGTCTATGTATGTCTGACTTTTTACCTTTCAGGTTTGAGCTTAAATGTGGCCCATGACAGAGCCTATAACTCTTTTTTTTTTTTTTTTTTTTGAGACAGAGCCTCCAGCTATCCCCCTGGGTAGAGTGCCATGGCATCACAGCTCACAGCAACCTCCAACTCCTGGGCTCAAGCGAGTCTCCTGCCTCCACCTCCCAAGTAGCTGGGACCACAGGCGCCCGCCACAATGCCCGGCTATTTTTTTTGGTTGCAGCCATCATTGTTGTTTGGCGGGTCCAGGCTGGGGATTCGAACCCGCCACCTTAGGTGTACGTGGCTGGCGCCTTAGCCGGTTGAGCTATAGGCGCCGAGCCATAACTCTCTAAAGAAATTCATCATCCAATGTCTTCAGAGCAACCATCACAACTGTGCTTGTTGGGCTACCTGAATGTCCTTTTCCTTGGCAATGTAAGGTCAGTGAAGAGTAGAGAACTTTCTGTCTAAACTCCCACTGGAGCCTCAGCAGCCCCCTTGCACTGCACCCAGAATATAATAGGGAGTGCTGAGTGTGCTCTTGTCCCCTCCTGCCATAGTGCTGGGACCACACAGCCCAGCTGGCCTGCTTGTGGCTTGCAGGAACAAACACCCCAGCCCAAGATTTTGCCCTATTTTCACAGCCTGCCTTCCCTGTCTTAACCTCACACATTTTCCAGGAGGCTTTATTTGGTTGGGCTCCTGGCTAATGATCAATGTCAACTCAGTAAAAGGGCAGCAATTTGGTGGCAGATGTTTTCTTGGCAGCTGTAGCCACTGGTCTTGGTGGGGGCCTCAGTTCTGGACTTGAAACACCAATGCCCAATGCCAGCCCCCTTTAAAGACCTCTCTGCAAATAAATTCAAATAAACACCCTGGGCTTCCATTAACGCCCTTCCAGCTGACCCTGGGAACAGTGGGCCTTTCAGGCCTGCTACTGCAGCCGCTCCCTGGGCAGTTAAAACACCCCAACCTGGCCTCCAGCTTCTCCCCTCCAGGGGCCACCAGATCTGCCCTGCCCACCACCACACACAGCAGGATTTCGTCCTCCTCCTTAAGAAAGGGGGTGGGGAGGGCTTTCAAGCAGGCAATTTACCATTCCAGACACAATCTTTCAAAGAGAAACAAAAACTCTCCCTGTCTGAGGCAGACCACTAAGGCGTGTGTGTAATAAGATGCTAATACAATTTAATGATATTTCGGCTGGAAAACCTGTCCTTAGAGCCTCCTTGTGTTGGGAAGGCCAGACATTCAGAAAATAAGAGCAGCACACTCTTAAACCACTTTAAACAGGGGTCAGCACCCCACTCTTTCCTATCTCTCATTAACTTTAATGCCTTCTCAGGGACAGCAATTATAGTTACAAAAATGATTTTGTACACACAGACTAGAAGACTGCTGCCTGGAATCCTCACACTGGCTTCATAGACCTGCTTCTCTAAGCCTAGGAGAGCCTGAACCCTTCTGCGGCACCCAGCACTGCCCACCTGCAATTCCAAGTGTCTCAAAGGGCACCCAACTCCCCTAGATCATGCTGCCCACATCCACCCCCTGGACCATTTCTGGGGACACACCAACAAGGTGGTGGGAGAATGAGAGCTTTGTCTACTTTGTCCTTCAGCACCTTCTCACCCTACTCTTCACCTCAGATAGGGCAAAGCTCAGTCCACTCACTCCCACATCTGGCTGCCCGCTGGCATCTGCAGGATCCTTCTGATCCTTTCTTCAGAGAAGGAAGCTGGCTCTTTGGCCTAGCCTAAAGGTAAGAGATCAAAGGTCAAAGCTGCATTGGGGCCCTCCCAACATTATTAATACAAACAGTTAAGAATGGCTAACAATAATAATCAAATACTTACCACATGCCTGGCTTTGGGCTTAAGTCTCTCTCATGCAATACATCACTTATTGTGCACACCCACCATGAGGTAGGTACTATTATTAATTTCACTTGCAGATGAAGAAACTGAGACACAGAACCATTATCACAGCTGGTAACTGTACAGCCTGGATTCAAACCTAAATTGTCTGATTCTAGAGGAGTACCCTGCCCTCAATGGGCTAAGCTGTATTGGCCTACAATTTCCTGGGTGTGGGTGGGGGTATTCCTGAGGAAGGCTGCAGAGGAGCTTTGAGCTAAGACCTGCAATAGTAAGCTTTTGAGTCACATGGTAAGGGTTGTTTGCGGAGGACCGGGCAAGCCAAGAGTATCCTGTCCCTCAACTCTGACCTGTCTTCCCCATTAAAGAACCTAAAAAGAGAACTGTGAAGTCCCAAAGAGTATGCTATGAAAAATTCGGACTAGAAGCCTCTTACCTAGGTCATGAGCATAAGACAACTACCTCCTTACTAATAGGAACATCAGTTATAACCAGAATATCTTGTCCCCAACTAAATGAATGTGGGAGTCAGTACCAAAGGCCTCATTTCAAGTCTCTGTGGTGCACCTGGAGCCTGGGACCAGCATTCCTACCTCACTTGTCAATGAAAGCTAAGTGGAGATTTTTGACAGCCTCTTGGATCACTGTTATTGGCTGTTTAGCCAGGCAATTTAGGGAAAGGAAAAGCGTTTTGGATGGGAAAACATTCTGGAAACATTTGCTGCATTCTGAGCCCAAATAATTCTATCCTTAAACACTTCATCTTCAAAAGTGCTGGGGAGACCCTTGGCCAAACAGTTTCAAAACCAACATTCACTCTTAAGTCCTGCTGCCTGGGGCGAGGACTTCCCTCTGTGAGGCATTTGCTGCAGAACCAAATGCTTTTCCACTCAAAACAACAGCCAACAGCACTTGGGACAACTGAGAGGGCTCCAGATCAAACAAACATCCCTTTTTTCTCCTACCATGCAAACTTTTTCAATAAATTATTCGCCCACTTCGGATCAAAGCCTGTTTTTGCAGCCTGTGACCTAAAAAGCAAATAGCATCTCTTAAACATGAAAGCCCTCCTCCTGCCTGGGTCAGCTTTATTACTCATTCCTTCCTTCTTACAGTTATTCTGTTGTTATTTTCCTCCTCTGCTTGTTAGATTGCCCTGCAAGTCCCAACCCGTCTCAGGAAGATGGGACAGGAGGGATGGTGTGTTCATTTGGGGCCCTAAGGTGAGAGAGGAAATCAGTGTAGGGGAGAAGCCAGCACCCTGGGAACCCAGGAAACAGGGCCAGGCCTGGTTGGCAGCTCCCTGCCCAGCCCTTTTGCCAAATGTTCTACTGGGAATTTTACCAGTTAAGGGAGGGAGTTAATGCCACTCTGGGAGGAAGGGCCAGAAGGGCCCATTACCTCCCCGGCCCCACTCGTACCGCAAACATAAATGTTGATAAGGGGATGTCTTGACAACTTATCTGGGCTCGGAACTCAGGACTCCTTTTTCCAGCAAAGGCAGGGCAGCAGGTCCCACTCAGCCCCTTCCTAACTCCTTTGGAATTGCTCTGGATGCAAACAAGACACCTCCATATAACCTTCTGCAAACTGATCCAGGATTAAACTTTGCGCCTAGCAATTCTGTGGAAGATGAGCCTTGCGTGCTAGGCGCAGGGGGTAGATTTCGAAATCTGCACAGACCAGGATCGCCGGCTGCGGTGTACTCTCGCAACAGGGCAAAGAAACGCAACGCCCCTCCCCCTCTCCCAACCCCAGCTCAAGGCCAGAGGCCAAGCTGGTAAAAAAGGTGCCTGGGCCAGCGGCAGCAGCAAAGGGAACTAGGAGGGAGTTGCGCGCCTCCAGCCTGCCCCTGGAGGCAGTCCGCGGGACCGCAAGCTGGAGACGCGCCGGCGTGATTCCAACCGCGGGAGCCGGGAGGAGGAGCCGGAGGTGGCTGCTGGGGGCTCCAGTCTAGGCGAAGGAAGGGCAAGAGGCGGTTCGAGCCCGGGGCGGCGCTGGGAGGTGGGTGGGCTTTTCGCTGGGATGTGGGGAGGAGTTTAGGAACTGCCGGAAAGGGTTGCCGAGCCGCTCGGGGGGTGGGTAGCTGTGTGTAGTAAGGGACAGGATTGCGGGGGCCAGGCCTATGGAAGCTAGAGTGAAGCCTTCCTGGCTGTCTCGCAGACATCCTCATCATCCGACAGAACAGCTACGAATCGCCAAGTTGACCCCTCACCCCTTAGCCGAGGAATGAGGATGTTTCAGGACCCAGGGATGGGCGGGAAGAAGCCGTGGGGAGCCACAAGTCTGCACCCAGGCGGAGAGGAGGCGGGCAGGAGCCGCTCCGCAGGCGCAGGCGAGTGGGTGGGAATAAGGGAGGGAGAGGAAGGAGGTGAGGCCGGGAAGATGCCACTGCCGGGGGCGGGGCGGGGCCAGGGATCCGGCAAAGGGACTGCAGCAGTGCTTAGTGGGGGCGGGGGCTGCAATGTCACTCACTGGGGAATCAGGTATGTGTGCGTCCCAGACAGGGTCGGCCACTAGCCTTAGCCTGAATATTCCCGATACCACCCAGGGCCCTGGGGCGGAGGCGGAGGGCAGGGGACTGCGGATACGTCCCCAGAGCAGGACGCGAACCGGCAGAGTTGTGAGAAGGTAAACAAGGGCCACGCCCCCTGCCGTCGCCCCGCGGGCGCGCACCCGCCGCTCCGGCCGCCGCCGGTACATTTCCACTCTCCCAGTGCCTCTCCCCCTCCGGACTCTCGGGCGGCCGCGAAGAGGGTGCTGTCCCCGATCCCAGCCCGCGCCCCTGGCGCGAGGGCTCCGCACCCTCCACACTCACCTGGAAAAGGTGTCCCCCGCCCCTCCAAAAAAACTGTGTTTAATTTGTGCAGAGCCTCAAAGCCCAGAAGCCGAGCATGCTGCCCCCGCGTGCAGCGCCCGCGTGCACCCGGCCCGGAGAGGGGGCGACAGGGCGGAGGCGGTGGCCCCCGGAAGGTGTCTGGGACCGGACCGGCTGCACGTGAGCCCAGCGCGAGGTCATGTGCACCGGCTCAGCCCGGTTCGGCGCCCGGACGTGCTGCGTATCAACAAAATGAAACTCGGGGAGACCGGAGGGCAGATAGCTCCGGGTTCCCTGAGCCCCTGCCCCGGCCGCTAGACCCCCACCCCCCTCTCAACGGCACCTATCTCTGGTAGCAGCCCCTCCGCCCGGCCGGAGCCCGCGGGGCAAGTTGCAGCCCCAGCGCGCCCCCGCCCGCCCGCACCCCCTCGCCGGCCCGGGGGCGCTTTGCCGCAGTCATTAATAAAGAAGGTCGCCAAGCTCACCCTTCCAAAAGTTGTTGTTGCATGCGCCCCTCTCAGCCTCCCCGCACTGTACTCTTTAAAACACGACTGACCAACATGCGCAATCTCTCTCCCCTGTGCTGTGCATCCCCCCCCACAGGCCCCCCCGCGCGCGCTGGCTTCCTAGAACAGGCAGCCAGCAGGAGAGAGAGGGAGCGAGCGAGCAAGCAAGAGAGCGAGGGAGCGAGAAGCGCTGGCAGATCTGTTGCAAAAACACCAAATAACGCCGTGGAGATGCACAGGGCCCCTCCGCCCGGGGCTAGATCTTACCTTCCTCCTCGGTGCCCTCCTGAGGGGCGCTGCCCTCGGCTACGCGCAGCGGCGGGGACCGGCGCGGGAAGGATGCTCCCGAAACCAGGAGCTCCCGGGGCCGGCGCGGGAGGGCGGGGGGCGCGCATCCATCCGGGGTCGCGGCGAGGGAGACGTCCGGGCCCGTGGCGTCCCCAGCCCCACGCCCCTGCCGGGGACGGTCAGCCTGCTAGACCTGAGCGGGTGCTGCTAGGAGTGGGCGCAAAGTAACTCCATGGACGCTACTCACCCCCCCCCCCAAAATATAGCCTCCAACTGCGATGGCCGCGGTCGGCACCATTCACCAACCCCCTGTGTATGTTTCTGTTTCTTTTTAAACCAAGACTTCCTTGTGATCTCTTTAGAAAAAAAAAATGTGTTGGGGTGGGGGTGGGGTGCCCAGCCCCACGCCCCTGCCGGGGACGGTCAGCCTGCTAGACCTGAGCGGGTGCTGCTAGGAGTGGGCGCAAAGTAACTCCATGGACGCTACTCA